TGTATTTGATATACAAAATAATTACATATTATATTTAACATATTTAAAAATAAATTAATTTTATAAAATAGTTGTAAAAATATAAATTTAAGTTCTATTTTATAAATTTAAGTTGAAAAAAATATAATAACTAATTTTAAAATAGTTTTTTAAAAGCATAGATAATTATACTTCTTATCTTATTTAAATTAGACAAGTCTAAAAAGTTTTTAAAACAAAGATGATTTAAAAAAAGATTATTAAATAATTGTAATATAATTTTTAAATTAAAAATAACGAAAATGAAAAAATATTTATTACATTTAAAAATAATTAATAATTGATAAATATTATAAAATATATTTCTTATTTTAATATTTTGACTATATTTTACTTTTATGATTTTTTTATCTGATAATATTATAATTTTTAATTACATTTTTACATAACTTATTTATAAATATAAGAGATGATTAAAATTGTGAATATAATAATAATAATATAAGAAATTTATAAGATGTGTATTTTATTTTACAATCTTTTGTTATAAATTATTTACAAATCTTAAATAATTTGACAATAACAAAAATTAATTTAAAATTAATCATAAAATAATAATTTGGTTTAATTTAAACTTTATATTAAATTAAAATAAATTAAACTTGATTGTAGAGGTTGTTTAATGAAAATAATAATTAAATTGAATCACAAATGTTCTAATACAGATGATAAGAGATTTGCAGTATGAAAGGTGAGTATAAATATCTATATTTTGAATACATTTGAATAAACAATAGAGAACTTTAAATTTAGTTTATTTGGAAATCTTTATCTGTGAAATTTCTCTAAGTGCGTAAATGTTTATATGGAATGATGATATTATTGTTTTAAATTGGGTATATTTAGTATCAATTTCTCCTAATTTAAGAATGTTAAAATATAATCATATGTTTTCGAGTTTTAATTAAAAAAAATCATTTAATCCTCATTTTGTATATGTTTCAGGTAAATTAAGAGATAAGGAGAATAAGACTTAAAAGAAGAAGAAAGGAAGAAACAGAGGAAAAAAAACATGAAATCTTACCATAACTCGCTTAATCTAAAATGATATTGTCTAAACGAGATTCGTCCAAAGAGCGATTAATTTGAAATTCATCCTTACTTAAGCGAGAATAATTTAGCTTAAGCGAGAACTTGTGCAATATATATACTTTGTGGTTTAAAATGTGAGACGAAAAATAGGGGGGTGCCGATTTTGACAATATTAGGGAAAATTCTTCTTTAATTTTAGTTTTAGGATTTTTTTCTTCTTCTCTTAGGATGTCAATGGTTACCATGAGTGACTAATATTTTATTTTGGGATTGAATATAATCGATTCGTACTCGGATGAAATATGGTGATATCTATACATAACTTTTATGTTTCTATTTAATATTGACATTTTTGTTTTGCTCTTAATGCTTGATTTTATCTGATCAATAGATTCGTGAATGTGATTTTTAGATGTGACTGAAAAGTATTTATGAAAATTTAATATAAAAAAATACTTGATGCATTGTGATGCTAGGAATAGATTTCAGTATATTAATAGATTTTAATACTTGAAAAGAATGTTTGACATTTTGTTGGATATGTGAGGAATCGATATCCGGAGAACTGGTCTTATGAATTTTATACGTGAGAAATCAATATAAATGATTATTGTGTGCTTGCATCAATATTGGTAAATCCGGATGCTATATGTTTATATTCATCCATATTACAAAAGAGTGAGATAAATGAAATTCAATCTCAACTTCTCTCTTTAAATCTTTTCTAATCAATCCACTGCTATTGTATTATTTTCATGTAAAATTACTATAAACCATTACTATCAATCATGAATCAAATGGGTATCCCTGTATATATGTTGTTTGAGATAAACTATTTATTTTAATTGAACTCATTCATTATTGGATCGACACTTTAATTAAAAAAAATCATTATTCTACAATTATTATGTATACGCTTGCCAAGAGGTAAATACTCTTCAACCTTAAAAATACATCATTTTTGCTATTTGATGTTTTCAACTATGTACTTTGAATTTACAAAAGTAGGTCATAATATTGGATGGGTCAAAAGGAATAGAATAAGTGAGACCCATTATATTTAAATATTATAAAATATAAATATATTATAAAATAAATAATATTTTTAATTTTATTAAATTTGGTAGATTTTATTATTTAACCTTAACAGTGTAATTTTAATGATCTTTAAAAATATATAACAAAATTTCTTGTGACAAATAACTTAAATACATAAGATATTAAAATGCTGAATAATATAACTAGAATGATTTCATAGGAAGACATTTATACGGTCTATTTGTGTTTTTCAATTTGGATGACTAAGTTATTTTCCTTTCTCACATGAAATAGTAGTTTTACATAGGAATTTACACTTAAACAATTATATTTTTTAAAATGTTATCTTAGTCATATATATATATGTTGTAGATAATTTACATGTCTTATTATTTTATTACACCTTTTCCTTATTGACATGTTGGCTATTGTAGCTAATGCTAGTGGGATATTTTTTTTTAAATTGTAGAGTTTTTTTTTCAAATTTAAAAGAGATTTTTTGTTTTTAAATTATATGTAATTTTTGCATAAAAAAAATTATTCTCCAATTTATTTTACTTAACTAATATTAAATGAAAACTTTTGAATATGTTAAAGGTGTGTTTACTTTTGTATATTAATATTTAAAAAATACATATATATATATATTTTAAATAATATTAAAAAGTTATTTAATAATTTAAATTTAAATTTTTGTAGAGAAAAAATTTATCGATGACTATAAAAATCACAATAAAAATTAAGAAATTAATTTGATAATTTCTAAATACAGATATACAGTGAATGCAGGGAAAATCATGAAAACATAAAATTACAAAGTAAAAGAATATGTTTATCAGTTCTTATTTAATTAGTTTTATAAATAAAATTTATATATTTTTTTATAAAAAAAAATAAACTTTATAGGAAAACAATAACCAAACATGTCTCAAGGTTATATTTTTAAAACTTTTTTTTACAAAATGTTTTAAATGGATGTAAGTTTTTTACATTTAAATTTGTAATTAAACATGAGTATTTTACTTTAACATATGACCACCCCTAAAATCAAACTTGCACTAGACTTGAATGTTATTATTATTATTATTAGTTATTATTATTATTATTATTATTATATAGTCTTTTATACTACAACTCACATCAATGTGGGTAACTCATTTTGTTACACCTTTAAATAATAAGGTCCTATCTATTTATTTTCTTATCTTTTGATCAGATTAAGCTTACCATTTTGTTACTCTTTGATGATATTCTATTCACATATCATATTCTAATTATGCTTCTAGTTATATTCATATCTATTTATAACATTTGGGTATTCTATAACCATATTTATTTTATCATGTTAGTGGAAGTTCTCCTTATATTACTATATTATTGATGTTTCTACCATGCAAACTTTTGACATTTTACTTTTTGAATCTTGCACACATGTTAATCAACTTCTTAAACTTGTTTGATTTTTGTTTTTTACAAGTAACAATAAAAAAATTAACTTTCTATAAATTAAAATTAGTTTATGCAAAAAATTGAATATAAGAATTTTAAAAATTATATAAAATTTGTTCTACAAATTAAGTAACAAATTAATTTTAATTTAATGATGAAATTGAATTTTTTATTATTTTTTCTCCAAATATATTTACAAATTTTTTTCAAATATATATATATATATTAACAGGTAAGGACTATAATTTAATCCATTCACATTCTCATACCAAATAGTTAGAAATCTAAAATCAAAACACTTAATTTTGTTTGTTGAGATTAAAGTTTTAGAGCTTAGTTTAAAGACCATTTATTAAAAAAGAATGTACAATAAGAAGTGATTAATTAAGGAAATGAACATTTTTTTTTACTAAAGTTTATTTACATAGAAAATATAAAATAGAAAATAATTAATTAAAAAAACAATGAAAAGTAATAATTTTCTTATTTAATAATAAGATAAATGATAAAGACAAAAATGTTATTTTTTATTTTATTGAACATATCTATTTTTCTTCATATATTTACTTTTTTTTTGGTATACGAACATAAAAGTGTGAAAAAAATGTATTTTATAAAATTATTTTTTATTAATAAATATATTAATACTTAAAAAATAATTATATAAATAATTTAGTAATTATATAAATATTAATTTTGAGTAAATAATAACTTTTATTTACTTTTATATCACTTTTCCTCACAACTAAATAGATATATTTTTCATCCTGTTTATTTTTTTCTTTTCTCATTTTGCTTGTTAAGCAAAACCTACAATTTAGTTTTAATCTTAATTTAATTTTATGATAATATAATTTAAGAGTTTGTCATGAGACATGATTAAATTGATTATATTTAACGTCAATATATATATATATATATATATATATATATATATATATATATAAGTAATTCTTACTATTTTTAATTAATAAATTGATAATAATTAAATATTAAAAATTCGAAGAAAAAGAAAAAGAAAATGTCGAAAGGGCAAGTAGAGTTTAAAAAAAAGCAAATAAAAACGATGGCGGAATTCGTCCATTCTCACGGTTGGCCACCCCCGCGGTGACGAATTAGCGTAGCGCTTACAACAGAGAAGATAGCGAAAGGGGATCCTTCGATCACACCACAAGCAAATGGCTGTAATTCCTTACTCCATGCTTAGTTCTTCTTCGCACTCATTACATTTCCTTCGCAATTCCAACTCCAACCTTCACTTTCTTCTTAACTTTGATTTTGGTTAGGACTCGTCGGGAACAACGCTCATGGATCTGATAACGGCGGACCCTGCGCCGGCGACGTCGTCTTCGACCTCATCTACGGCGCCGGCGCCACCGGCGTCTCTGCCCTCGGCGTTAGGTAAGCCTGCGGGGGAGAAGAAATCGAAGAGAGCGGCGTTGATGCAGATCCCGAATGATACCATTTCTGCTGCCAAAGCTGCTTTACATCCAGTTAGGACCAATATCATGCCACAACGGCAAAAGAAAAAGGTACCGCGATTTTGCCTCTTCTGCAAGAACTTGCGTTGCTTCAAAATTGAATTTGTTGCGTGTCGTGGATCAGTTAGTTTTCAGTGCAGCTACATCGCTTTTGCATATGTAGTTACGAAATTCGGTGTTATTAGCTAGTAAATTTTAGTTGATATTCACATTCAAGTGTGTCTTATGCGGAAGATATAGTATTGGTGGTGCTTGATTCTGTGCGTTTGATCTTCTTGGTGGTGCTTGATTCTGTTCGTTTGATCTTCATGCTCGCTTGCTTTTGCAGCCAGTTTCATATTCACAACTCGCCAGAAGTATTCACGAACTAGCTGCCACTTCTGATCAGGTGAGTGTCGCCAACTTTCTCTGCGAGATTTCTGTTTGGATAAACTTGGTTTCTCAATCAGCACATATAGGAAAAGTCAATAAGAAAATAAAAGGAATTGAGATTCTCCAATTAGCTAAATCAATTTCGGCACTTAAACTTTTGGAGAAGTTCAGAAGAAAAAACTTTCTATAAAAGTCAGATGCATAATTCTATAAAAGTCAAGTGCATAATTCTATAAAAGTTAATTGCATAAGTTTATTTTTAACTTAAGAAACCCATGTCATTTTATCTTTGTTTATTTCTCCTATGTTTATGAAAATGTTTATCCAAATAGGTTCTCTAATGTGCTTTTGTATTTGGTCTACTCTCTCATGTTTTGTTTTTTATGGTAATGTGGTTCCAGAAAAGTTCTCAACGGCAATTAGTGCATCATGTGTTTCCAAAACTTGCAGTGTATAATTCTGTGGACCCTTCACTGGCTCCCTCTCTTCTCATGGTATGCTCCATCTTCTTTGAACTTGAATGCTTGCTTATAAGTTGTTTCTGATCTTCCCTTATGTAGTATGTCCTAATTCCCGGGAGCTTGAACGCTTTCATATAAGTAATATTGTCCTCAATGTAGCTTGTGTTGTTCTTTTGATTTATTAGATTCTTTAGGCCCTAGATTTAGCTTTATAGGCCTATCTATGGCATACTTGTTGCAATTTCTTTTTAATGGACAGTCCTGCTGCTCATTTATTATTATTATTATTATTATTTTTAATAATAATGATCTATGAAATGTACATTATTATCATTATTACTATTACTATGATTATGTCATAATGATTATTCCTTTTGGAATTTGTTTACCCCTGATTAATGTGTTGATAAAATCTTGTATCTTTGTCTCTGTTTTGCAGCTTAATCAGCAGTGTGAAGATAGAAGTGTTCTTCGATATGTCTATTACTACCTGGCCAGAATTTTGTCTGACACTGGTGCCCAAGGTTTGAGCACAGGTGGTGGGATACCCACTCCTAACTGGGATGCTCTGGCTGATATTGATGCTGTAGGAGGTGTTACTCGAGCTGATGTTGTGCCTAGAATAATAGAGCAGCTTACTGCAGCATCCACAAACTCTGAATCTGAATGTGAGACCACTCTTTTAATTTAATGGTTTTATTCATTTTAAGCATAAGAGGTTGCATACATCATATGTATTTGTGCATGGGCTTATATATTTTACCTTGAGTTGAGAAGGGGTTATAGTCTCTTTTGGGCTGTTAATTGAATCTTATTTTATATAAAAATATCCTTATAACCCATGTGGAGTGAATTAGTTCTCATTCACTCCTTGTTCACTGCAACAATTTTGTAAATGGTTTACTGAAGATGTTAAGAATTTTGGACCAATAAGCTTTGGCATATACATATTCGCAGACACACATTTATATTTTAAGCTGTTTGTTGGCTAGGCGAAGGCATTTGCTCTGTCTTGTCTAGTGTCTACAAAATATGCAATTGAAAGTATGCAGAGTTACTAGAGATGGGAAATCACTGTATTCAAGGCTGTGTAGATTTCGGGATAAATTGTTGATGGATATTTAAAGCATAAAGTGAGGTTGGTACATAGAGGAAGGAAAATTCAGAGAAATGAATTATTCCAGTCAGGAGGGAAAATTGGGACCTCCTTTTTGGTAAAAGAAAAACTCTATTTCACAAGAGAAAGGAGGAAAATTAGAGTCTAAATATTTTTTTTTTCCGTTACATAATTGTATATTGACGCAGCGATGGTGATATATATTTTGGATTGGATTCAATATTTTATTATCTATTTGGATGGATGGATGATTAACTTCCTTTGCATGAGAATTGCTTGAAATAGTAGTTTATCTTGAGTAGGATGTTTCTTGTATTCCTTTTATTTGACTAGAAGAACTTCTCTTGAAGCTTCCATAGTTGTGCTGATTGGTGCAAACTGCAATCACTATTTTGGATTTTGAATCTCAATGTGTATGCTATTGTGGCAATATTGTCGTTGAAAATGCAGCAATATGTACAATGATACATGGCATCCAGAGTTAATATAATCGTCTAAATCTCTTGATTAAATTATTGAAATTGTGCAGATGGCATGAATTTTTTGATTTTCGCAAACATGATTTTGTCCTATTTGAAAATTAAATTAGTCAACTTATTAAAGATTTCACAAATTTTGGTTGTTGAAGTATGTCTTCAATTTTCATTGGAGATTCTGACTTGATTATTGATTCCTATTCAACTTATGTTTTGAAGTTCATGCTCGAAGATTGCAATCCTTGAAGGCACTTACATATGCGCCTGAAACCAACTCTGATGTTTTGTCCAGATTGTACGAAATTGTTTTTGGCATACTAGAGAAGGTTTGTGCTTTCCTATTATCTTTATTGTGTATATAAAAGATGTTATTTTTTCCCATTTATTTTTAATTATTTTTTTAGCCACCTCTATCCAGAATAAGTTGTTTGGATCCGTTGATGTGTGTTGAGAATTTTGGTTATTCCCTCAGTTTGAATTTTTTGTTTTAGTTAATATTTGGGTCTTTGGTCAGACAGAGCGCAGCAGTGTGTATAATATAAGTGCACTGTACATACTGTCATTTGATGTCCTTGGCTGAACTGAAGTCTTGTATCTTTAAAGGAAAATCTTTGTCTATGGGAGAAAACAATTTTATAGCCTCTTTAGTGGTGTTTAATGCATGTTTCCTCCAAAGCGTTCCCTTGGCTGACATACAAACGGATTGTACAGCTTCATTATTTGTATTCATTTTGTATTTTCTACCTCTTCAATGTAGTTTTTCTATATGGAGTTATTCTCTTTTTCTTGCTTTCTCTGTAAAAGCGTTTTTTCTTTATTAAAAAATATTTTTAAATTATGGTACTCGAGCTTTCTTCACTTTTTTTGCCTTTAATGAGTTTTAGGTTGGTGATGCTCAACAAAAGCGAAAGAAAGGCATACTTGGGGCTAAAGGTGGTGATAAAGATGTAAGATCATTGATTTGTACTGTTTTTTTCTTTTATGATATTTTTGGTTTTTAATTTAGGGATCTTTTTTTTTCATGGAACTGTTTTCTCTTTCCATTCAAGGGAACGAAGAATTATAGGCTCATAAAAATGTAGTCAGAGCAAGTAATTAAAGAAACTGTGACACCTATCTTTCTTCCTGATAATATAGTATTCTTTTACTGAGAGAAAATAACAGTTCTTGACATTGTATGAGTCTTTATATTGCATTTTGCAATAAATATATTGATGCTTACCTACACAAAATATTGCTAAATATATGTAGATCCTCAAAAAGTAGGACATTGTGTAAAGTAGAAAGCCAATCAACGTGGAAAAAGATCTACAAAACGAGACATTCAAAAATTTGAATGGCAACTCCTGACAAGATTAAACTTGAAAGCTGTCAATTCTGCAGTATGAGAAAAAGATAAAATAGAGGTATAACACTGGATGAATCTCTAGGGACTCACTTGTATAGCATAGATCTGTGTCTTTGAATACCTTGTATTTTAATCAGACCATAATGCTAGAGCTTTTGACTGAAGATTCTTACAGTTAAATATTTTGCAGAAAGGTGTTTAGCTTCCTTGTGGTTTCTTGCTAATTTATTTTATTGGGTATTTTCTTTGCCAAATATTCAGATGGGGTCCCTTGAGTCTTAAATCTAGAATTGAAAAGAACCTTGCTAAAAGGAGGAAATACAGATACTGACAATACTGCAACTGAAGCACCAAATTTTGCAGATACGATATCATATATATGGGGTTATGTCAGATTTTAAAAGTTACAGGACACAGCTTGTGTTTGACATAGATATGACTCAACACCACTGCTGTTTTGAACTGTGCTTTCTTGCTTATAGGTCAAAACACTTGAATGGTTTTATATTACATATCTAACACACCCACTCACAGAAGAGCCTGTTGGGCTAGAAGCATGGATAATTAGAAAACAGAGATTTAGGGCTCTGAGAGAAAAAGAAAATTTAGGAAACTTTGTAATTGTTATTGATATTCTGATCTCTTTAGAGGAGGGATCAGTTTATATAGTTATGGAGAAAGACTAAATGAGAAGCTGTTGATGTGGCATTAGCCAATCAGCATACAAAGAAAATAAGTAACCACTGTAACTAACTATGCTGATGTGGCAGATAGCCAATTAGCTTACAGAGAACATAATCAACTCTGCTGATGTGGCAGATAGACAATCAGCTTACTGAGTCAACTCTGCTGATGTGGCAGATAGCCAGTCAGCTTACTGACAACATAATCAACTCTACTGATGTGGCAGATAGCCAATCAGCTTACAGAGAAAGGAGAATAACTCTCTATTACACTTTTAAGACCACATCCCTAGTGCTGACATTCAGCTATTTATTAGATTGATGATTGTGATGAAGATTGAACTCTAGACGTCTTAGTTATATAGGCTTTAGTACCATGTCATGAACCAATAGTCCTAAAAACTTAAAAAAAGGGTATTATATTATGTTTCTGACATGTTATGTGTTTGATCATATAGTCTATCATCCGAAGCAATCTACAATATGCTGCCTTAAGTGCTCTGAGAAGACTCCCTCTGGATCCTGGAAATCCAGCATTTCTGCATTATGCTGTACAAGGGTAAGTTGCTCTTACAACCAAAACTCAAGGGAACGAGTAGTTCATCACCTCTCTTTAAGAAACTTGCACAATTTAGTATTAGCTTTTGTATTCTTCCTCCCTTCGTTCTGGTCTATTGTTCTCAAAACTAAACTCAGTTTACTGCAGGATTTCATTCGCTGATCCAGTTGCTGTGAGGCATGCACTAGAAATTGTTTCTGAGATAGCTACCAGGGATCCTTATGCTGTTGCTATGGCCTTAGGTAAGAGTTTAAATCTTCATAAAAAAAAAAAATCATTAAAATGGTGTTTGATTTGATTGCATGTTCTCTCATGATATAATGGTAGAAACAAATTTCTCCAAATTCCCCTAAATCTAATGCTTCCTGGATATTCTTATGCAGGAAAGCATGCGCAACCTGGAGGTATTGTTATTGGATCTTCAGCATTTCTTCCATCTTTCCTTTGTTTTTGTTTGTTTGAATTTTATATTGTCTGTGACATCTTCTTTATTCAGTAAAAGACAGTAGATAATGATTAAAACCAGTTTTCAGTCAGTAAAATATGTCAAAACACTTATATTACTTTTGCCTTGTTGTAAACTGAGAGGAAATTTCTGCAAAGCAAGAATAATGCTTTGTGAATATTTATAACTTACTATCTTATGTTGTTCCACCATAATTAGATAGTTTTGTGATGGTTATTTGGTCTATGTACAGGGGCATTACAAGATATTCTCCATTTGCACGATGTTCTCGCTAGAGTTTCTCTGGCGAGGTTATGCTGTACAATATCAAGGGCTAGAGCTTTAGATGGTTGGTGTATTAGAAACTTGTATTTTATTAAAATTGATTATTGGGGGAAATATGCTATGACTAAATTTATTTTTTGCATGCATTTTCAGAGAGAGCAGACATTAGATCTCAGTTCAATTCAGTGCTCTACCAGCTTCTGTTGGATCCCAGTGAAAGAGTCTGTTTTGAGGCGATTTTATGTGTACTAGGAAAATATGATAACACTGAGAGGTGCGATTTAGTTTTGATTAACCTTCTGTCTTTATGATTTGGTGGGATGCAATCTCATTATGTTTACACATTTTAGGACTGAGGAGCGTGCAGCTGGGTGGTATCGTTTGACCAGGGAAATTCTCAAGTTACCAGATGCATCATCAAAGGAAAGTTCTAAAGATAAATCTCAGAAGATGAAACGCCCTCAGCCTCTTATAAAACTTGTAATGAGAAGGTTCAAAAACTCATTTGTGTATTTCTGCATGCATGTCTATTCTGCTCGTTGAATTATCAAGTCTTTTGACTTGGGTAAAGTAGAAACTGTCTAATTGTAATGCACAATTTTTTTTATTAATGCTTTTCAGGTTAGAGAGTTCTTTCCGTAGCTTTTCTAGACCTGTGCTTCATGCAGCAGCTAGAGTTGTACAGGAGATGGGGAAAAGTCGGGCTGCTGCCTTTGCTCTGGGCATACAGGATGTTGAAGAAGGAGCACATGTCAATACGTTTGCTGATTCTACAGATTATAATGATTCAGATGAAAGCACACATCCAGAAAGTAATGTTTACTTTATGTGTTTAGTGGTGCATGCTTGCATAGCATTGTAAACAAGGCTTTTAGTATTTTTTTTATAATTTTTGGATAATTTGATATACATACAGGTAGTTTCAACTTAAAAAGTTTCTTGAATATTAAATACAATTGTCAAGAGATATAAAACCCAATCATTGGCCTTCATGAAATCACTTAATATTTTTGAGAGTTGATCCTTGATAATCATAATTTTTTTGCTTGGTTTTATGCATTATCTTCATGATCTTCCCTTCTGGTTTCTTTTGTTTTTCTGTTGTTCCTTGTGATTAGCTATGCTTTTCAGATTGCATATTGAGTTTTCTATTGAAGATATTGGTTCTGATTACATTTTTATAAAGAAAGAATGAGATTGTTATATGCTTGTATAATGGATTCGCTTAATTAGGCTCCTTATGTATGTATTTGTACTAGTAAGCTAGGTTTAGTACAGGCATGGTTACTATCTGCGTTTAATACTACTAACAGACACAAGATTCTTCTGTAACACTCCTTTTCATGCTGGATAATATAGGTTAATCTTAAAATACTTTTGTTAGCATGTCTGTTAGTTATCCATGCACTTGTATTCACAATGAATCCTTGCTGATGTCTTTGGGCGAAGAAAGTTCACATCAATGTGTCTGAGTTTTATGTAAAGTAAGGTCAGATACAATATAAGAGCAGTTTGATTGTCATACAATAATTGCATAGGCTTAGTTATCCTAAAACAAATCCAATACACGAGTTTAGATACAGTCTCAGTCATATCTTGGTATGTTGAATTATTATCTTGATATGTACTTAATTGATACCTTGATGTAGGCATTCGAAGAACTTCTTCAGTATCTAATGTAACTGCTGGCAGAGATACCATCGCTGGTTTGTTGGCTTCATTAATGGAAGTGGTACGGACAACTGTTGCCTGTGAATGTGTTTATGTACGAGCCATGGTGATCAAGGCATTAATCTGGATGCAAGGTCCATATGACTCATTTGATGAACTAGAATCTATTATTGCATCGGAACTTTCTGATCCAGCTTGGCCAGCAGCACTATTGAATGATGTTCTACTCACTTTGCATGCTCGTTTTAAGGTAAATGGAGTGTCTCTTGTGAATGATATATCATTGTTAAGCATACTTAGATCTGTTCAACAAAGCATTACCTGAATGATGAGGCGATGAGCAACCAATATGGTTGAATTTAGCAATACTTTGCTAATAATATAGATTGCTTTGCTGGCTGTAAAAGGCCAGCTCTATTAATTTTAATCTGTCAAGTGAAGGTTTGATGTTTTTATACCTTACAAGATGCCTGTCACATGTGATCCTTTTGAACTTGAAGCACTGAATGTGCATAACTTTTGCAGTAATTCAACCTTATTTGAAAAAAATAGGGAAGCAAGGGTCAAACTCTTGATCACTGGTCATACAGGCTTTAATATAATGTCAAAGACCAACTCTCGTAAAAGATAGAGTTGTTAGGTGAAAGGAAAGGATCATGAGTGATTTTATATCTAACATTCCTTTTCTTTTAACACCATGTTAGTGTATGATTCTGTAGTTCTCATATGGTGAATTATGTTAAGATATTCAGTCTGTGCATTTCCCCCCCCCATGCACTGCAGGGATAAAAGCCATGGGTGCTATAAAGGAGGGGGTATGAACTTGAATGTCAGTGAGATTTTTAAAATTGTGCTTTGCCGAAGTGACAACAATATCTTATTAGTGGTCTTCCACGTAAACTTTGTATAACATAATGCAAATAATGGGTAAATGTTTTTTTTTTGTATTCATGCATAATGGAAACTGTAAGTTTGCTTAGTAGTTTTTTCATATATGCTTTGCAGGCTTCCCCAGATATGGCTGTTACTCTTCTTGAAATTGCAAGGATATTTGCTACCAAAGTTCCAGGAAAGGTTGATGCTGATGTCTTACAACTGCTTTGGAAGGTCAGTTTACCTGGACAGATTTTTTGAAATGATATGTTTGGTACACATGTTTATAATGGAGTGGTCAAATAATGATAAGTAAAGACAAATGCAAACCACAGAACTTCCAAAGCAACACAGCCACGTTACATAGTAGATGGATGCACATAGATACCCAGTTCATTTGATCAGATTTGACTTTCCTTGATGGTTTTGACTTTAAACAATGATTGACTAAATGAATAGTCTGTTTCCAGACTTGTCTTGTTGGAGCTGGTCCTGATGGGAAACATAAAGCTTTAGAAGCAGTCACAATGGTACTTGATCTACCACCTCCGCAGCCAGGGTCAATGCTTGGTTTTACTTCAGTGGACAGGGTTTCTGCGTCTGATCCAAAGTCTGCTCTTGCATTACAAAAACTAGTCCAAGCTGCGGTAAGCATTGCTATTTATTCAGAAGACCATACTCATTCTTTGGCTTTTGCAACCCAAAATAAAGTTCAATCAAGTTTTTTTCTGACACCTGGTGCTTTTAGGTATGGTTTCTTGGGGAAAATGCAAATTATGCTGCTTCTGAATATGCTTGGGAATCTGCGACCCCACCTGGTACCGCATTGATGATGTTAGATGCTGATAAAATGGTAGCTGCTGCTAGTTCTCGTAATCCTACTCTTGCTGGTGCCTTGACAAGGCTCCAGAGGTGTGCATTCAATGGCAGTTGGGAGGTATATATTATTTATTGAGTGGTTTCCCTTTCTTTACTTGTATCTACATCTCAAAATTTGAAGTGATTTTTTACATGGTATTACTCTACAATGAGAACAATGATATGCTTTATTAGTATAAAATAGTGTTGGTTGGGCGCCCCAAAGCTTTTGTCTGATTCAGCCTCTTGGTATATGTATTTTTGCAGATTTTTACCCCATGCTTATTTTCTCTTGCTGTTTAACTTAAATATTCCCTTTTAAATGAACATGCAGATTCGAATTATTGCTGCTCAGGCTCTCACAACAATGGCAATAAGATCTGGTGAACCTTTCAGGTTACAGATTTATGAGTTTCTGCACACTTTGGCGCAAGGTGGTCTTCAGTCGCAGTTATCTGATATGCATATTAGTAATGGAGAAGATCAAGGAGCAAGTGGTACAGGCCTTGGAGTTTTATTAAGTCCTATGATAAAGGTTCTGGATGAGATGTATAGAGCACAAGATGATTTGATCAAGTGAGAGACAGATCTTAATTCCAAACTTACTTCAAAATTAATGATCTTGATTACTAATGTTCATGAACTGCTTATGAACAGGGAAGTACGCAATCATGACAATGCTAAGAAAGAATGGACTGATGATGAACTGAAGAAACTTTATGAAACCCATGAAAGGCTGCTAGACCTTGTTTCATTGTTTTGTTATGTTCCAAGAACAAAGTATCTCCCTTTGGGCCCAATAAGGTACTTGATTAGTTGAAGTGCATTTTGTATTTGAGTTAATTTTGCATATTTCTTGTGTATAAAACCATACAAGTGACCAAATTATATACAAGTTCATAAAAACATACGTTATTAAAGTGAAAACATTTTAAAAAGGAGTTAATTTCTTCAGTTGATTTCAAATTTGTTGACTCGGTTCTTGATTTGAGAGTTTTCGTAGTTTATATGAATTTACTGACTATACCAGAGAGTCTATCCAAAAAAGAATTTGATACTGTTAACTCGTTTTTTCTACTTATAATCATAAAATCGTGAGATTTAGATTTAACTCTGACAACCGTAGACATTATACATTTCACTTTCATAATTTAATCATAATGTTTTGGTTAAACAATGAAACTTTTTTGTGGTTATGTTATTGGTGTTTTGCTCTAAATATAATTATACGCTAATTTTTTGACAGTTCCAAACTTATTGACATCTATCGGACGCGCCACAATATTAGTGCATCTACTGGTTTGAGTGATCCAGCTGTTGCCACTGGTATTTCTGACCTTGTCTACGAATCCCAACCACCATCTGCTGAGCCTGATACACTTGATGATGACCTAGTAAATGCCTGGGCAGCGAACCTTGGTGATGATGGCTTATGGGGTAACAATGCACCGGCAATGAATAGGGTATGCTTTTTATCTATTTTGTCTGGCTTCTCTTTAATTTGATAACAAGATATTTTACTAATATTTAAGTGGTAGAAAAGTATATCCCCTTCTCCCTCTCTCTCAATATATATATATAAAATAGGTTCTCAAATTGTGAATCTCCAGCTAATTTTCAACTGTGAATCGTAATTTTCAATGACAACGACAAACTACTTCAAATATATCATATAGATATATAGTGCTCAATGTAAACGTTTTTAACTAGAAATAGATAAAAGCAACTTAGCCACAGGTCTTATATAACAAAATGATCAGCTATGAGTTTCTGAACCTGTATTTTCTTGAAGGGAAACAAAGCAATGAAAAATAGAGTGCATTCATTGGATGAGTGGATGAAAAATAAAATAGTGGAATAATCAATTAGGATAAGAATAAAAGTGCCCTACCAATTTCAAAATTGTGTATTTTATGCAATTATACTGATTTATTAGTATAGTAAGATACAAATCATTTAAAATTTATCTTACGATCTAAATTGTGGGGAAGTCAAATTGTACAATTTGAATCGTGAATCATAACATTCTACAAATAAACACTTTTAATATCAGGTAAAGGATAGGAACAATTGAAACAAGTGCCAAAATTAAATTACTGAATTATGTGATGTTACTTTGATGATTATGTTATCTTATGTTTTATAATTTAAACATTTATAGGTATGTAATGTAATAGTAAAATATTATTTATTTTTTAAATGGCATGTAATACATTAAAATAAAGTGTTAGGAACTATCAATAACTTTTAAAATTATATTACATTTTGTAAACTCAATCTAATTTGTTAAATCTTTTAAGAGTATGGTTGAATTGATAAAGTTTATCATTTTAAAATATTATTAAAGGTGTAATCTTGTCGAGTTTGACACCTGATGTCAATCGATCTTGTCTTTTTAAGTTTTAACACACACTGCTAACCTCCTCTCCTTGCTGTGGAGATTAACACCTTTACATTTTGTTTTGGACTAAATCCTCACATCTTTGTTTGTTAAAATCTGTTAAAATAATAGATAATATTGTCTCTTTTTTTTACAATTTAAATATTGTTTTTAATTTCAGTTATTTCAACCACACTCCCCCTCCCCTGGTTTTTTTACATGTTCACACTCCCATCTTAAGAAACATTACTTTTCTGATCATTGCATTTGAAAATTAGAAACCTTTACTTTACATGACTCTTCAATGTTCTAATTTGTAAAGAGGCATGTCAGACTAGAAAACTGCAAATTGTTGAGTGGTGACTACCAACCAGCCTTCAATTTTTTGTTATAATCCAGTAATCGACCATTAACTTTTGCATTTGGTGAATATGAGATACAAATTGCGGTTGAAAAATTAGTGTTTTTGTGATATAAGTCATGTAACAGCAGAATTCATGTTTTGTTGAATTTATTTAACCAATAATAACGGCTATATAGTCCAAATCAAAATGTGGACTATGCTAACTTTCAAATGAATGTTTGGAGGTTAGCAATATTTGTGTTTATGTGCAAAATTTAAAGCTAAATATTACTTGTCATTTGAAACTAGGTTGACTTTAAATTGAACATTCTTTTTTTCTTTGGATTTAGGTAAACGAATTTCTGGCAGGTGCTGGAACAGATGCCCCGGAAGTTGATGAAGAGAATATGATCTCTAGGCCTTCAGTTAGTTACGATGATATGTGGGCAAAAACACTTCTAGAATCTTCTGAGCTAGAGGTTAGGATTAAGCTAAATCTTTTTACACCTGATGCATTGGGTCTTAACTTTGTGGTTTGTATCACTTAAATCCATTATTTGTGAAAACAGGAAGATGATGCAAAGTCATTGGGATCATCATCTCCGGATTCAACAGGATCAGTTGAGACTTCAATATCATCCCACTTTGGTGGAATGAACTATCCTTCACTGTTCAGTTCACGTCCATCCGGATATTCACAAACTACGGTACCAAATATTAAGAATCAATTTGTTTTGCAACATGTGTCATGATTCTAATTTGATGCTATGTGATTCTTCTATATTGGATGTTTTATGCATACTTTTTAAAGCCGAGAGAATAGTGAGCAGTCAAGTTTTAGTATTAGCGTTAGTTAGAAAGTTAACTCACAATTACATTGCCCCTGGACTAGAGATTACAAACTTCCCTAAACATTCTGAAATCAGGTTACAGGCACAGAGGTATTTATATATTATGCATACTTTTTAAAGCCGAGAGAATAGTGAGCAGTCAACTTTTAGTATTAGCGTGAGTTAGAAAGTTAACTCACAATTACATTGCCCCTGGACTAGATTACAAACTTCCCTAAACATTCTGAAATCAGGTTCCAGGCACAGAGGTATATATATACCAAGGTTATCAAACTCAAGAGTCTACGTAGACTTGTGGGAGGTCTATATACTCGACTCGTAAGAGTCTACTTCAAATGAAAAATACTAATTTAACAAAAAATATGATGATATCAATTCCACGTTACTGAAATAAATAAGTTCATATAATAATACACTGATAAAATAACAAAAAATAAGTTCTAGACATTTTTAATTTCAATATTTATATCTAAAATAACAAAAAAAAATCAATTGATTTTGTCCAGCAAAATAATCAGAATTAAAAAAATAATTTTTTTTTTTCTAAATCCCTAAATCTATTTGAAAACCCTAAAATCTCAAATCTCTTAATCCCTCAATCTAACCTGCGAGAAGGGTGACTGGTGGCTAATCTGCGAGAGGAACAGCGAGAAGGGTGGCCAAAGAGCAGGGGTCGGGTGAGACATGCGACCAGAAGAGACATGCAATGCAACCACCGCATAACAAGAGGGAATAGATGGGCGACCAAAGGGAAGAGACCAAGGGAGCACTGTGACGTGACCACCGATGACGACGAGCAGCAGTGAACAGTGAGAAAGGAAGAGGAATGCGAGATCTGAACCTGTGAAAAGAAATGAGGAGTGCAGAAGAAGATTTAAGTGTTTCTTCTTTTTCAAACTCGGTGACTCGCTTCTGACTCTCGAGTTTACTCAGAGTCCACCGAGTTCACTGAGTTTACTCACGGGTTAACTCGTCATTGGTCACATGTCTCGTTCACTCGTCCGAGTTAGCGAGTTGACATGCGAGTTTGATAACCATGATTTATATTTCAAAACAATTTAGAAATGGATTCCAAAGTTAAGATCATGGAGTCAATGTTTGTGTGCGTAGGGAATTATCCTTTATTGGAGTCAAGTGCAGATGCTCAGTTGTACGCATGGTTTTCTAATAGAAAAGTATTGATCAGAGAAAAGTTTCAATTCCAGAGAGTTTGGCTACCTTGTACATGTTTGTCACTAACTGTGTATTGTTTAAACCGCACCTATATTCATTCCCTCTCATCAGAAATGTTGAGGTTGCATGTGTCTCACAGAAGTTGGTTCTGTATTCTTCCAGTGAACTTCTCTAGGATACATTGTTCCTTTTTAAAATAAAACCTTAACATTGAATCACATAATATTGCATCAAAAACCACTATGGATTGATCTATTGATATCATGAGATTTTCCTTTTCAATCATTTGAAGACCGTATGAGAAGCTTTTAAAGCACTAAAAGTTTCCCCATTCAGCTTCTACAGTGAAAATATGGAATAGTCATGTACACTCGGCTTGTACATTTCAGCGACTTGAAGAATTTTTTATTTACAGATTTCATTGACATTTATAATTCGTTTGTAATTTTAAATAAGATTTCAGATTGCCATGTTGTATTGAATCCTTTTTGCATTACTAATATAACAAACCAACTAGAGCAACAAACAAGTCATCAACTCTATTGTCTCATGTTTACGTTCTTGTCAGCAATATACTCTGTTTTAATTTTATAGTTAGTAAAAAAATCATGCGCACTGCATGTATAATGTAACTGTTCAATTAACTATTAAATTTTATTGAAAGAAAATTTATTATAAATTGTATTAAATTTGGGTACATTATGCTTAGCGACATACGAGGGTGGAAAGTGCAACCAAAGTGATATTTTAAGATGGTAAAGTTCCTTTTATCCCATAATTTGTAATATAATTGTTGGAATTGTTATGGGTTTTAGGCAGGGAAGGAGGAAAAAAGAAAATAGAAACTCAATAATATGGTAATAAGCTTATATGATTCTGATGTTACGATGTGATACAAAATACTACCTCGTAGTCCTGTTTATACTAATACTAGACACTTAATTCTAATTAAAAAAGATTAAGGCAAGGTTCTTAACAAGATAAGATCCTGAAAATTAAGCGGCACAATTATCCCTAGAATAATATAGATTATCATGATTTATTAAACACCATTCTCTCCAGATATTTAGAGTTTCTAATACTCAGGCTGTTCCTTGCTAAGATTTGAACTTGTTTCATGAACCCTTATATAAAAGATGAAGAATAACAGAAATATAGTGAAGTCCATCAGACATGCTTGGAATTTCAACTCAAAGACAGACTAGAGATGTTCGGAATGATCATTAGCCTGATGGAAATTTCTTGGTAAGAAATCAAGCGTAGCAAGGCTCAAACTTCTCCAAACAACAATTGGAAGCTTCAAACGGCCATAATGTTTTTTAGGAGATCCAAAAAAATGAAATTGAAACTAAGGCTGTTGATAAGGAAAGTGAGTGACTTTGGGTCATGAACAAGTCCATATGCAGTAAATAGATGCAAGGACAAGATCAACACCTAGACAGAGTAAACTGAAGGGAGTGATAGGAATAAACAGAATATATAATAAAGTAACGTGAATGGAAGAAATTCTGGGGATTTTGAATTATCCTAATTTAGTGTGCATCATTCTCCGCCCACTAAATTATTTTGTAAATATTCTTACAATAGTTTTACATCAATGAGTTCTTAATCTAATCACCTTACCTTGAACGTTGTAATATCATCACATATTTATTCACTTTTTATTGAGGCACAACTCTGTCATTGTGAACTTCTTTTGTATTTGAAATTACTTACGGAAATTTATATTATCCATGGCAGGATAAGGCACCAGCAAGCCGAGGTAGTGGTCCCTCTATGTACGAGGGTTTTGGTGGTTCTCCGGTAACATCCCTTTACTTGTTTTAAAGTATATTTGGATTTATGTCTTTAGAAGTACAACTAGGAAAAAGAATAATAAGAAAAAATGAAATAAAGTTCTTCATTAGTTAAAATTAATTTTTATATAAGTTAAAAAATAATATTTTAACGAAATTAATGTGAGTGACTTTTTAAAAATGAGTTATTTATATATAAACTAAACTCATTTAGTTTATAGAGAAACTTATTTCATTTTATTTCCTAGAAATGCTTATACAAAAGATTTGTCCAAACAGGCTCTTAGTTTCATTTTATTCGTCTGATCTAGTTTTAATATTAAATCCTCAAAATCTTTTCAGATAAGAGAAGAGCCTCCATCATACTCGTCATCTGTCATGCAAAGATACGAGTCATATGAGAATCCCCTAGGAGGAAATGGGTCGCACAGTTTTGAGTCTCAAGATGACGAACGAATTTCATCTGGAAATCCTCAATTTGGAAGTGCACTTTATGACTTCACAGCAGGGGGAGACGATGAAGTAAGTTGGTTTAAAATAGATGAAAAACCCATCGAACCAGTCATTTTAACTGGGAATTTGTGAATAGGTTAGGAGTCTAAACAATCCAAAAAATTTATTAAAAAATCGATGCAAAAGCAGTTGAACCAGTGACTAAACACAATTTTGAACATTGACCTCTAAAAAAATAACACAACTTAAAGAAAATAGTTTAGTAATGTTTGAAATTAGAAATCTCAACTTAAAACAAATGGTTTAGTAATGTTAGAAAATAGAAATCAACATCTAGTATGACTAATTGAGACCAAAGATCTATGGCGGCAAGAATTTGACCTGCAGCTGTACAATGCAATGCTCGCACTCATGTTTACAAATCTGAACCTGAAAAGCAAAAATATACAAAAGTTAAAGCAATATTAAAAATTAGGATCACATGTTAATGACTATTATTTAACCTTTTTATTATTTATTTGTTTTAATCTTTCAAGCCTATATATAGTATGGTCATTTTATTCGAATCTAAATTTTGCATTGTATAATATTAAAATATATATTTAATTATCACCTATTCAACCAGTCACAATGAATCATAGACCTTTACATAATCAATGACTAGTCTGGCTTTTGCAAACATTGATTAACTTTTATTGATTTACGCTTTAAGGTCAAACATGTCTATGCATGTTCGATATTTCTTTGGACTGGGCATTTCGGCTTGTTGTGTTCATGAATTAATATATTATCTAGAGGTAGGTATGGATGTTTTAGATGCAAACATGCATAATTACTTTCATTGTTCCTGGCAGTTGAGTTTAACCGCTGGAGAAGATGTTGAGATTGAGTATGAAGTAGATGGATGGTTTTATGTAAGTCTTTTTTGAGATGTAGATAGTATAATTTACATGAATTCCTCATGTAAATCAGTTGTTGATGGGCTACTTTACGGTGCAGGTTAAGAAGAAACGTCCAGGAAGGGATGGCAAGATGGCTGGATTGGTCCCTGTTTTATATGTCAGTCAATCTTGAATCCTGTACGTAAGCTGTTGTAACATCCGAGTCATGTACATGGCTTTTTTGGTTTATTTTATCCAGTATTGCTTTCGTTCAAAAGTTTCCATGTGCTCCTGTCCTATGCCATTCTGGCTTTTCTCCTTCGAAGTATCATGTATCTTGGTCCCAATTTGTTCAGTTGTATGCTATATCCATGTATCATTTTCGATGCTATTTGCTTGCGAGTGTTTAGTCATTCATCATAGTATAGGGGTATCGAATTACTTGAATGAGTGTTTATTCTTATATAGGGAATTCAATGTATCAAGTGAGTTTCATATTTTTTAAGTCAGAATTGTCATCTTGTCTTGATATGTATTCTATACTTACATAATCACAAGTCCCCATCCATGTCTTCCTAACATCTTTTTCAACTTTCATTAACTTTTTTGTTTTTCCCGTAATGCTAGTTTTTATTGGTCCTTGATTTGGGTTACAAACGTCTTAACGTTGGAGAAATATGGGATCATGGGTCATACAAAATGGAAGGAATCGAGAAAGCACATCAAAACGATGACAAAAGTAAGGGATCATCGGGCATAGAAATAAGGAATAAGACGAGAAAGCACATCAAAGCAGTGGAAAATATATGATCGTGTCGCATGTAATATCTAATAAAATGTCAGTATTTTTAATATAAGTAAATCTCATAAATTTATATTTTTTTCCTCTTATCAACAACCCTGGTTTTAAATTACTATCATTAATTTGGGATTTACAAGATCAAATGAACATTAAATCGAGTCTAATTATTAAAAAAGCGGTACTACGAACATTCAAATAATATTTTTCATCTACTAAGAATCAAATTTAAGATTAGTTATATATGTAATCTTAGAAATTGAATAAAAAAACAAACATAGAATTCGTCTTCATAATCGTTCACTATTATTAATAAATAATAGTACGTTCATAAAAAAATATTAAATTTATGGACGGATAAAATCTGTCGGAAATAGTAAAAATTTGTTGAAAAATATACTTTATTAGTGAATAATGGTAAATATCATTAATGGATTTTAGTTGTTCGTGAATATATCGATTACAAATTGTCTTGTTTAATTTTTATCGGTTGAAAAGTGTTTTGCCTAATTATTGATTAAAAAAATTTCATCGATAATTAAAGACATTGAAGCCTTTATCTTATATGTGTTTGTTGAAAATTCTTAAATTCTTCATTATATCAATTATTGATGAATTTTCATGAGTGATATCTGTCAATAATATTTAAATTTCTTTTTATTTTTCTCATTACGATCAATAACACATATATTTATATCACAAGTGGTATCAAATCCAATTTAACTATTTCAAATCAAATTCAACACAAATATAATCCAAATTAACCACAATTCAACTCAAACATAATACAAATTAAGGTCAAATTCAAATCAAATCTAATCCAAATTTTCTATAATCAAACAGGGTGGGTAAGAGTAAAAGACATATAAGCTAGTTAATGTAAAAAAAAACAGTATATGTAACCTAAGTTATGCAAGCTAAAACAATTGAAGTTGAAAATAAAAGATTCAAAATCACAAGCATAAATTAGTACATATTTTCACAATCATGTATTCCATTCTACCATATGTATCAAACAACAGTGATATATATAACCTTTCAATAATACCATATGTTTTCAAAAAATAATGTTATTCTATCAACTAGATAAACAACCAAATGTAGTTTAATACATTGAATTCAGGAAATAATTTTATAAGCTAAAAACAACCAAAAAATTAATGAATCTAGAGGGGTTGTATGCTGAAGTACGTGCAGTAGCACTGCAAATAAATATGTTTACAACTTGTTAATATAAAAATGTAAATTTTGCAGTGCAATAAGGGAATGTCTTAAGTACAGGAGTTGTTTCTATTCTTAAACATAATATATTCTTCATTACAATCCATGCTGCCTAGTGTTGTTCTTACATTAAACTAAGTTATGGCAAAACCCTATCGATCACAATGACTTATTTATTATGCCTAAATATAGTGATGTTTGTACATTAAAATATGATATAGCTATAAACTTATCTAAACTGACCTTTATAGAAGAATTTCCACAAAGCAAATGAAGATAATGCAATGGAGATGTCATGAATTTGGAACAGTAGATAGAGAGATTAGTTATATTTCTTTTTAAATTTTGCATAACTCTTAAAACTGGATATACATGGTTGAGAGTATTCAATTTACTATGCTGCCATTGAACAATATTATGAATTACATTTTCGATTTGTTATAAAGTAATAAGAAGATTTTACAATTTCCTAGTTCTAAAGTCAATATGAAAAAAAATAAATTAAAATTAACATATTTGAACAACACAAAAAAATGTAAAATAAATATTATCAATTTATAAAAATAGGGTATTCCATGTTTAGAAAAGTCTATTTGCCTCATGACAGGTTCAACATAAATTCAGTTTGTCTAAACCTATTTTAAAGATGGGAAACCATCGCCACACTATGGATTTGTTATTGGATTTAAATGAGTTTTTTAACTTTAGTTCTAGCACTAACTTACTTTTAATAATGATGAAATGAAGCTAAAAGTAACAAGATTCAGATTTAGTTATTTTATTTAGCCTAAAGCTTCTTTGTAGCTAATGAGATTATGCATTGTTGCTTGCCTCCTAGTTTATTCACAAGGACTATAATAAATACTTTGAGGACAAGAAAGGCATTTTAATTACATATTCTTTTATATGTTCAGAGATTTCAAGCTTTTTTCCATCTCATTTGTGAAACACAACCAGTGAAGAGGACAACAAAATTATGCTGTTGGCCATTGTTGATACACCTATGTCATTGCTATGAGGAAGGCCAGAAGTTAATATAGATCATCATTAACAGAAATAACTAGTCCAAAAGTTTTTTTTTTTTTTTTTTCATTGATGACCTTTTCCTTTTAACATGATTTATACATTTGAATTTCTATTGAACAGATGCTTGTTGCCCTATATGGCATTATTTGGGTCCAAGTTTTGCTTGGCATTTTTTGACCATGAAGGCAGTTAAGTTATGCTTATTATCTTTTTAACATTGTTCTTTATGGACACAATAAAGTCTTCTCACGACTATGCAACTAGAGGGACATTTGTGAGCAATTTCTGGTATATTAAGATGTTCTCACATGAAACTTAACTTAGTGCAAAGCTGTGAAGGACATCTACATGAGGCTGTTCTTATTCATATATCAATCATATGCTAAGTATTAATAATCAAAATATGTGTTATGCTATGAGGTTGTTATGTTAGTATGAAAAACAATCCAAATTGAATGCACATTCCCCTATCATCCATGTTATATATGTTTCTATAATGAGATGATACAGATCAAGTAATGCCCAATACCCTTATCTTGTTGTACTGAGATTATAATAATCTACAACACTGTTCCTACTATCTTAGTAAAATATCTATTATAGACTAATGCATTATGTCCCAATGAGGCAGCCTCATACATAGGGGCATATTAATGTGTTTTGACTTATGAACATCTGCAAAACAGCTGCAGAACAACTGTGATTTTGTTATACTAATTGAATCAATTATTGAATTATGATTGAACCAATTATTTTTAACCATGCAACTTTTCACTGCATTTAATAATAATCAGTCTTTTTTGTTGTCATGTAGGGTGCAGTGAAGTGGGTGCATCCTGTTTATGCTATATATACTAGTTAAAATGGAATGAGTAAACCAGTTAACCAATTCCTCTCATAATAATATTACACTTGTTGTACTACTTATTCAGCTAATAAGGTTCAAGGGGACAGTGCTACTAGGGAAACCAACAAGTGGCACAACAATTCCAATGTGGAGCCTTTGGAATCAACTATATATTTCAAACCCATTTGTAGGACCAGTGATGAAAAAAGCAATAAGGAGCAGGTATCAACACGCACAAACATATATATTCTAATTCATATATCAATCAACATGCACAAGCATATGCTAATAATTCCTTCATAGATCATCTCCTCACAAAAGTCTCCTCGCGCGTTTCTTTGTTTCCCTCTCTTGTTCGAATTCACTCTTCTCTATGTATTTGGGTCTTTGGGAACTTTTGTAATTTCAACAAATTTGAGGCAATTTTTCGAGATACACGGTTTGAAGAGATTTGAAGGATTGGGGATTGTGGTGGGTGAACAAAGCAACTAAAATGATTTTGCTTCTTAAAATCCTTTACAGATATATATTATCGACGGTCACTAATACTCACCGACGAACAAAAATATATTTTTAAACAACCGCCGGTAAAGGCCGGTCGAAAATGTTCTTTGCCGCGCAAGTTTCCAACGGATTTACCGATAGAAATTCTGAATGTGATCTAAAATGCTACAAATCAAATCTATTGTTAAATAAAATTTATTGAGAGACTAAATTCCGTAGGTAAATATCTGTTGGAAAAACACTCATTTCTTGTAGTAACTGACCGACGGCCAAAACTAATTAGATTTCACTTCAAACTTCCATAAACTGGAAGAAACAATGATATACAAATAGTTTGGAATTGTAAATACCCTCAATTTTTTTTCATTACTGTTATTTTTCTTTTTGTTATATAATTATAGTTTTATATAATTTTTTTCTCCTTCTCGTTCTCTCTCTAGAAATAAGTAAGCAATGAATGTTACGTAGCATTTTCTTTTCAGAATGAGGAAGGTTTTGTCGGGAGAAGAGAAAGAACAGTAGCCGCAAAGTTGCAAGAATGGCTGCATGCACGCACTATCTCATTTCAAAGTGATGACAAGACAAGTTCTTGCCTTAAGTCTTGCGTCGGCAATAATTAACGTCTTCCAGCTTTCTCATCTTTTCCTAACGGTCTCTCAGAATCATCAAGTATGTTTAAGAACTGCTCAAACATTAAAATCAAAATCATGATAAAAATAATAAATAAACTTTAATAAATTAAAAAGAATTTATATATAAATATATTTTTTTAAAATATTTGATTTTTTTAAGAATTAACTCGAGCATAAATTTTAGCTGATGAAAAAACTCATTTAATTTTATTCTTCTTTCGTATTTATGTAGATTTATATAAACATGTCCGTATCCATTTTTTTTTTACATTTCTTATTATTTTATCACTTTATATATATAAATATAAACCAAAAGGGTGAATATAGGGAGTTAATTTCCCTAAAACAATTGGGATGTGTCCTTATTAGAACTGGTCAACCATAGTCAAACTTTGTAATGGACCAACTCATTAAAATATAAACTACTTTCGCATTCGCTTTCACAAATAATTTCATTCGGGGTTGACCTTTTTCCTTATTCTGTTCCAAAATATTCCACGACCCATGCAGCCTCCACTATCTATACCCATGTTGGAGAGAAAGAACAATGGACGATAGAGGTTCCATTGCATTCAAATTGACATAAGCCATTCACTAATTTTAAAAAGTTATATAATGTATTTATAATGTATTATGAACTTCCATAATCTATCATGTACATTTAAATATTAAAAATTATTGTTAGAGTGACTCAATCAATTAAAGTGTTTCCCTTAATGGAATTGTAAGTCGACGTGAATATATAAATATAATAAATAAATATGTATTTATCATATTGTAGTTATACTTTTTAGCTATTAACATTTAATTATATTAATGTTTATCTAAATAATATTTTATTGATTGCTTTTAAGTTTTATAATAATAATTTATAATGATTATACTGAATGTAAAATATTTTTATTTTAATAGGATCATAAATTTAATACATAGATATTATTTTATGATTAATTAACCTATTATTTGATTTTAGTGCAAAAATTTACGAGTGTGATGCGAACCAAAGTATCTATGCTATTCCAAAAATACCTAAACACCTACTATTAATATTAAAAGAGAAGCTTAAAAAATATATATAAATAATCATATTCTTTTCTTTTCCCCCTCTCTCTCTCTCTCTCTCTCTCTCTCTCTCTATATATATATATATATATATATATATATATATATAACTTTTAAATATATCAACTATTAAATAATAACTATACAAGTATTACTGCCTAACTTTAGGAAATTAACATACAAATTAATTTATATTATAAATAATATTTAAAATTTTAATTATATCCTATATAAAAAAACTTAATCATTTTTTTTGCTTTAATCTCATTCTATATTACGCTTCCTAGTAGTAATAATGTTAGTACGTAATATTTAAAAAAGAATTAATTTTCTAAAATATATATTATTTATTTATTTATTTAAAAATAAATATTAAATATCAAAATTTGATAAGAATATTTTTTTAAGAATTCAAATTCAAATTCACATACTATATAATATTATAAACAATGATTTCAAATTCTACATAAAATAAAAAAAGGTATTATTTTTTCAAAACTATTAAAATTAAAATTCGTCATTAAATATATGTAACGTTTATAATATCTTTATTTATTTTAAGTGTTATTCTCTCACGCAAATATATGTAAACGTTTATATGAGACACTGCATCTCTATTTGATTATAATAAAGAAAGTTCTTTTAACACTTAAATTTAATATATTTTCACTATTTTTTATTTACTTTATTTCGTTCTTTCCATTAGACGGAATCTTCTTGTTTTATCCTCGATTATTTTCTGGACAAAATTCATTTTTTTCCTTAAAAATATATTTTATTATGTGAGCTTCAGAATATTCTTTAATTGAGAATTACAGAGAAACTTATATGTATTAAGGGACGAAAAGAGGGCATGTAAAATAAAATAAAAAACTAAAATATTTTAAACAAATATTAATATTAAAAAAAACATAATAACCATGTAACTTAATTATTTGGTTTAATTTGGATTTTATTTTACATTTAAACCGAATTAAACAAAATAACATTTTAATTTTATGTTCTGTGTACACCAGAATTTTCTATATATTTCGTTGACCTGTTCAGATTTTCACGTCGACAATCATGTATGCCTTTTCTTCTCTTTTGTGACCTTTACAAGGATATCTTAAAATTTAAGTAAATTAGATTCTGATGTATTTTATCATGAAAGTTTCTAATAATTTGTGTACTTTTCACTTTATTTGTTACCCTTAATTATTGAGAAACACAAAAGATTTAATAAAATGATCACAGTTGCTTGAAGCTATATAAGAGAATCCTAAACGGAGATGTCGACTAGCACTTATTTTTTGCAAATAGAGAAAACTTGAATCAAATCTCAATCTATTTTTTCCTTTTTTTTTTAATCAAAACTGAATGAAATGAAGTTACGTGTTTTAGGGTTTGTGATGAAAAAGATGAATTGGGAGGTTGTGTGCGGGAATGGCAAGGGATCAACTATGATCTTCTTGGAATAATTTTTTTAATAACGAATAAATAAATAATAAATGATAAAATGTAAATGGATTAATGAGTTTGATAATAATTATTATTTCAAGGAAAAGTTAAAAAAAAAACAAGTTTATCTTTTTTTTAGATAAGTGTAGTATCATTTCTATTTTATCATTTTAAAAAAATATAATGAAAATTCAAGAGATTGGAATTTTATCATATTATTTAACTGTTGGAATAAAATTTAAATAAATTAATGTTTAAGAGCACTCAAAAGTCTTAATGGATAAAATATACATTTTTTTCTCTTTCTAATGTATAGGAGATTTTTATTTTATGTAATTTTTAGAAAATTATTATTATTATTTGATACAAGGTATATAGTTATGAAATATGTAATTTTTTTACTATATATTTTTATTTTTTTAATGAATTTTAATTATGAATTTTAGATATTTTTTTATTTATATATTGAGTTTATGAAAAAGGATTTGATTTTGATTTTACTTTTTGAGTATTTTTGTTACTACTATATTATTGTCGATTGGGAAATATCTAGCAGAACAACACACAGTATAAAGTTTAAGAAAAATCTAATACATTTAGTTTAATATTTATAATTCTCTTTAAAAATAAAAATGTTAAAGAGCTCATGTTGGGAGAGTGCTTTCACATAATTTATAATTTTTTTTATAGGACATTAATGTTTACATTGATTACCACTAAGATTGATGAGTAAGAAACTATGCATGAACATCTTATTGGGACGATAAATATTACAACAAAATTTAATATCACGAAAATTTTCTTATAAAATTTATTTTGAACTCATTGTTAACAAGACTTAAAAATCAACGAAATCACTTGTTTCATTACGTAAATAACTAAGAGAATCACATAAAAAACAATAATTATCATTTATACGGGAAATAAATATGAACATTTTTAGAAGAATTAAAGGTAAGTTTAATCTTAATGAATATTAAATTAAATATGTTCTAGGTGAATCAAAATTTAACTGAAATTTTATATATATATATAGTGGCGAATCTTGACCATTGATTTTAGGAGGACCAAATAATATATTATTAATAAATAATAAATAAATATAAAAGGACGAAAGAAGATGAAAGTGTTGAATTGTCTTTAAGTTTGAGGGGACAAAATCATAAACTATATGAGAGTTACAAAACCGAGAAGAGACTAAGAGGATAAAACTGTAAATATACAAGTAAATATATTAAATGTTCATTAAGCTTGAGGGGCCAAAATCATAAATTACATGGAAGTTACAAAACTTTGGAGAGCTACGCCCCTTAACTCCCAAGTACTAATATGTATATATGGGAGTTACAAAACTTTGGGAGCCACGGCCCCCTCAACTTCCAAGAAGATCCGCCACTAGATATATATATATATATATATATATATATATATATATATATATATATATATATATGGTGAATTGGATTTGGTATTATACAAATTAAACAACATGTGATTGAAGGGAAGGAATATATGATGTGCAATTTAAAGAAATAAATACAAACTTAAATAAGTTTCTAGTCAATGATATTTGAAATTTAACGATATATTTATTTTTTTATATTTAAGAAAAAGTAATATTATATTTTTAATTTTATAAGTTGATAATATCTTATTTGAAATTAATGGTATTAGTCTTTTTTACGAGATTTTTTTTTAATAAATTATATGATAAGAATAAAAATATTTTGAAATAAATTAGAATGATTTCTATGTCTATTGATAAATCAATAAAGTATTAGAGGAGTTTATAATGAATAAGTGTTCAATCGTCACTTGTTGTATTTTTGTAAGAATGATTTAAAACAAAAATAA